CCAAACAAATCAAGTTTCTTTGCGTCCTTCTGTTTGGGGGTAGCGCTCGACTGGCCCTGTCTGTCCCTTTCATTAGCTGTCAATATAATGAAGGACTCTGGAGAGGGGTGAGAGTACAGATACTCATACTCACTGGCTGGCACACAATATTTTTTCTCTGTACTCTTCAAAGTGGGAGGTAGAGAAGATGGGGTCTGCTACAGGGCTCTGACCGGACCTATTACCACCTCATTAATGGGTAAGGACACTTTACATGGAGCTGCTGCAGCCAGAATGTCAGCGAGGCTGTGAGAGGATTCCTTGAGCTCCTCAATCTCAAGCCCCCAGTTTGAAAACACCTTTCTGCTTTAGAAGCTCTTGATGAGCTCTAAAGTCATCTTGGGGAAGCAAGATGCTTGGCCTTGAGATGGCCATGTCAGGGGAGGAGGAGGAAGAGGCCTGTACTTGAGGAGAGGCTTCTTCCTCTTCTTCAGCCTCAATAATCTCCATAGGGGCCATGTCCTGTAAATCAGTACCAGGGTCAGTACTGGAGTCAGGGTGCAGTGCGGGAGCCCACCTCTCAGAAGCAAACAAGTATGAACGGTGGGAGGGTAGACCTGGTATTGGGAGAAAACCCCAAGGGTTCCAGAATAGCCACTACATAGGCCACTCTCCTGGCCAGGTACCCGCAGGGGGACCCGCACCAAGGTCCGGCGGTATGTAGGACAAGTAACGGTGGCCCTTAGGGTGAATGCAGGGCTCCGTGTTGGACTCAGATGAAGAATCCTCCCTAGGCTTCCACGGGGAAGCAGTACCTCTCACTACCTTTGATCGGTGTCAAGCATCCGGTGATTGGTGGTGGGCTGGGGACGACTTCACAGAGGACAGAAGAATCAGCTTGTCTCTAGAAGGAGCTGGTGGGCCCTGTGCTGGGAAGGAGCTCAGAGCACTGGTCTCTTTCCTGCTCCAGGATGACAAAGCTGACGGCTGACCTAATGGGTTTGGCAGGACCAGTAGCGACAAAAAGTCTCTGGCTGCTGCAAAGGCTTCTAGGGTTGAACGCACTAAATTCCGCTGGCACCACAATGACTTCCCAGCATCGGTGGATTGTCCCACACCAGACTCAATGATCTCAGCTGAGTCGATCGTGCCACCATGGGACCGGGGGTGGAGGAATGGCCCAATATGGGTCACACTCCACTGTCTTCCCCTGGTTTGCCTTTCTTTGGCATTAGCGAGCGCGCGCTGTCAGTGCGCTGCTTTTTGTGCGTCTTCCTCGGCACCGGGGATGGAGAGAGGTGCTGGGATGCATGCAATGCTGGAGGAGTGCTTTGCACCGAGGCCAAAGTGCTCAGTGCTGAATCCGAGAGGCTTGGTATCGAAGAGCAGCTTCCATTAGGAGAGCCTTAAGTCTGATCTCTCTATCCTTCTTTGTGCGAGGTTTAAAGTCCCAACAAATTTGGCAGCAGTCTTTCACGTGAGATTCTCCCTGACACTTCAGACAACTGGGGTGTGGGTCACTCACGAGCACAGGCTTGCCACAGGAGGCACAAGGCTTGGAGCCCAGGGGCGAAGGGAACCCCTTGACGATAAGGGGAGAGGGTACTAACTATCTACACTAAAAGTATTTACAATATATACACTAAAACTAAACTATAGACTAAACTATGAAACAGAAACCACTGATAATCGCCTTGCCAAAGCAAGAGGAGACATTCCAGCAACTGTTACAGCAGATAAGGAACCAAGAGGGTGTGGGGCTGGTGGTGCCCTTGTACTGGTGCATAAGCGCACAGCACCAGAGGGAGCTACAGCGGGCCCAACTGATCCCACTGAGGGGGAAATCTCTGGCAACAGTGCACGTGGCTTACGTGGAACATACATAAGCAAGCACTCGAAAGTGAACTCTTCTGCCAGTTCCAATCTAGAAAAACTTCCCCCTCTCATCATTCCAAAGACAAGAGGATGGGTAACCTGTTTTAAACAATTTTAGAAGCATTGTTGTCCTTACAATGCTTCTCCAATGCTGACTTGAATGGTGAGAGCGCTAGTGGTTGATCGTCTGCTGTTATACCCAAGAAAGAAGAGGTGGCCGTCAAGCTACACAATGTGGATGAGTTAGCAGAAGTGTCACTGACATGAGCACAGGCCAAATTACACTAAGCAAGAACCTAATGAACTACACAGAGTTTTCAGTGCAATTTATTCATACCAGGCATCTTAATATTCTGGACAATACCATACAACAGCCCTATGTGGAACAAGTCTAACAGAAGGAGAGAATACTTTATCAGAAGCAAACAATAACTCTAAGGAAATTTTAAGGGTCAAAGAAGCTAAGAAATGTGAGGGGAAACTTATATGATGATTAATATAAACTGCAATAAATCAATAGCTGGCTCTTAAAACACACCAATCCCAGAGAAATAAGGTAAAGCTAGTGCACTTCCAGAAGGAAAGGGATGGAAACATTTTAGAAAAATCTATTAACTCATCTGTTAACTTTAATCATGAGAAGATCCAACGTCCAAGATTAAAGCATCGTCAGGGGACCTGACAAGACTATGTGTATCACACAGAGTCATTTCACTATACAAGATTGTCATCTAGTTCTTACTTGCCCAGAGAGAAATGAGAACTGTATTATAATCCTGCAAAATTACTTTATTCACACATTTCAGCCGAGGATTTTTGAAAAGAGTTGTTTATATCAAACAAGGGTTTTGTGCACTGATGATGAAGTTATACCAGCTCATTCTCAGCATAGATATGCATAAAATACAAAGACCTTTCCTCTTTGTCTACTAGAACAAAAGATGCACTAAACTTTTTTGGAAGCTGGAACTAGATGTCTGAAGAAGATAATGCTGTGGCCACTCTATACCTAGCTCTCAGGCTGGGTTACTGTGGAAACCAACAATGATTTCACCAACCTTTCTAATTGAAAAAGAATGAGAGAAGGACCATGAGCCTGGGTCGGTTCTGTCCATTCTGTCTAGGTATTTATACTGCATGCATCAGTGTGGTATCTGTGTGCGGGACTCTTCATTGCTATTTATAAGAGTAGGGGTTGATTGCTGGTTTGAGCCAATCACCTCTGAGCTTGGGTGCTTATAAAGGCTTTGCGCTCAGGCCCTTGTGGCTGAGAAAGTGACCGGTGTGTGTTGGATCATTCAGTGACTCCTCTGCCCAATTAAGGAACAGAAGTGATAAGCTTTAAAGGAATTCTCATCCAATCCTTCTCCCCTAGAGAGGTTAAGATGGTGCAGTAAGCTTGAGCTAATGTGCATTTAATGCCCAACGCAGCAAGGTGCTGAGAGCCCTCAATTCCCATTCATGTCAGTAGAACTGCAGCCCTTCTCTAGACAAAGGGTGCTCTGTCCCACTTAGGACTGCCCCATAAAAGGAAAAACAGGGGTACCTTTCAGGACCTGATAAGGACACCACAAAAATCCCTTCCCCCAAAAGACAGCTGAGTTTTAGCCAACACTTCCACTTTACAGCAAGACAGAGTGGGCCCATTTAGACTCTGAGCTGAAAGCCAGGAACTCCAAAGTTCTAATCTCAGCTCTGACCCATTGTGTATCCTTAGAAAGTCACTTAGCGCAACTATACAGATGACAAAACGGAGGCAGGGAGGTTAATACTTATTCTCACAACACGGCTGAGAGGTAGGTTAACGTTTGTACTTGAAAAAGAGTGTAAAGCACTAAATCCATGCTAAATATAACTACCCTCCAATACTTTCCCTCTAGCCATTCAATACTTGGATGGGACAATACTAAAGAAAACCCTGATGCTGGTGAGTCAGTAGGTGCTACTGTTCCCTCTGAATCAATGCCCAAAGACGGTTTAGGGGTCTATTCTGCAGCTGGAGATACTAAATCACTGTGGTCATACAAGATCCCACAACATTTTTTCTAAGAACAGGAGTGTTAAAGGCCAATGTCCTGCCGAAACTCCCCCTTGCGGTTTCAACTCAGGACAGAAGAATTCATGTTCTCTTCCAAGCTGCCGTGCAGTGTTGCTGTGACCTATTAGACAGCTACTATGTTCCACCTTAGAGGTGGCTGCATTTCACTGATGGATGAAGTGATACTTTACCCCTCTGTTGTCACACTAGATTAATTAGAGAAAGATTGTGGCCAGCCCCTGCAAGGGAGAACAAAGTGAACAAAGGGAGAACAAAGGGGAGAGAGTGAAAGGGGCCTCCCACTTGCTGCCCCAGTCCATAGGCTGGGCACTATGGCATTCTTGCTTTCAGAGAACACAAGGACTGTGAGATGCTAGTGCTATGGCTTGGATTAGCCTCAACAAACAGGATTGAGGGGGTGGACCTTGGCCTCATCTCTCCCACACGACAGCACTCAGCAAAGCTGGGTGGATGCTGTACCCACTTCAAGATAGTGGAGCAGCGGCAGGCATAATCCCACCCAGGGCTCCTGCTCTGGCACAGCCTCTCCACACCAGGGCCTAACTCAGGGCCAGGCCACAAGCACGAAAAAAGTTTCAGCTGTTTACAAAGTGCTTCCAGAAATTCAGATGAAAGGAGCTATAGAAATGAAGAGCATCACCATAAATAAACAAAGTGACACTACACAGTAATTAATCTCAAATGGAGAATCCTTCCATTTCATTCAATGAAGACACAGGACTCAGTTTTCCAAAACACACTAAGGGCCCAATCTAACTCCTCTTGAAGTCAATGGAAAGATTTCCAGTGGCTTTTGAAAGGTGCTGCACTGGGTCCAAAAGTAGACTTCATTTTGTAAGTGTTTTAGCCTGAATTCTTAACTTCCCTTGGAAGAAGCAAGTATTTTTCAATTCTCCTGATTTGATTATTATTTTTCTCTTTTACACCAAATTTCTAAAAAACCCTAATATATAATCAAAGGAATATTTACATGTTAAGAGGCATACATGGGTTGCACAGAAAAAATAATGAATTTCCTTTACACTTTCACTAGTAATGTTATATTTCTAATCTTCTCATTTAGAAGAGATTCATTTTCATACTTTACCTTCTCAATGCAAGTTTTCATTTCTGCTATTTCTCTCAGACAGGCATCCTGTAAAATAATTCAAAGTATAATCACAACTTTGTGGTAAAGAGTTTGTTGTTCATATATACTTATATGTTTGGGGGATATAGTTTGTATGAAACAAACAAAGCTGTCTGCTATCAATCATACATTGCTTTCTTATTAAATTTAGGGAGGGATTTTTCAAACACACCTAAAGAAGTTGTGTACCCAGTTCCCATGGACTCTCATTGGAAGTTTGGTGCCTAACTCTCTTAGGTGAGTTTGAAAATCCCACCCTTAGAGTCCATGAAAGAGGTTGTATTGACATCCCTGGGAGCCCTGAAATCTCCATTCCCAAAACAGGTACAGCACAGACAACAGGAGAATAAGCTTCCCCACACTGGCCTGCCAAGACACCTCAACCTTGATGAGGAGGGACCAACTGCAGGAGTGAGAAAGTAGTTCAGCCTCCCTGCTAGAACATTTTTAAATTTCAACAACAAAAAATTCCACAAAATTTTATTTTCCATTTTTCAGCAAGTCTACTCCCTGCCTTCCCATCAATCCTCTACTTCTCATAGACAGCCAAGGAATGGGCCATTTAGGGGCCATTTGTCCACTGGGAACTAGACTGAGATCACCAAACTCATTTCATATGAGCCAATCAACAGCCATCAGATACTAACAGCCCTTGGTCACCACCTGTGTAGGTTAGATTTGAAGAGGGGACCTAAGGCCTTAGCCTGGGAGGTCTCTGCAAGGAGCTGACCAACCTTAAGTCACATGGACGTCAAGGGGAATGGAGGGTCCTTAGCACCTCATGGCAGAAGGTCTACATTTTGCAGGACAGGGAACTCACATACTGCAATAGGCGATGCCTACACTTAAACCGCTACAGCGGCACAGCCAGAGCAATGCTGCTGCAGCGCTTCAGTGTAGACACTCACTGCAACAATGGGAGGGGTTCTCCCATCGCGGGAGTTAATCCACCTCCCCAAGCAGCGGTAGCTAGGCGGACAGAAGAACTCTTCCGTAAGCCTAGTGCTGTCTACAGCGGGGGTTAGGCTGGCTTAACTGCATCGCTCAGAAGTGTGTATTTCTCAGACCCCTGAGCAATGTAGCTAGGTTGACCTAACTTTTTAGCATAGACCTGGCCATAGGTTCTTGTGAAATACCTAAGAAAGAAACTGTAGGCCTTTACAGGATCATTCACTCTAAAGTGGATTTGTTTGTTTTTGTCTTTGAATACTACATTTAAAGAAACACTGTCCCCTAGGATTTTTTTTTAAATTGGAAATATCCAGTTTCCGCAGTGTCTTAAGGCACCATTTTTAAAAGAACAACCTTCTAAAAAAGAGGAAGAGGAGGGTGGTTCTGCTCCACTGTTATCTTTATAAAGATCTTTTTAGCAAGGAAAAAATATTGACTAAGGACCTGATCCTGCAATGAGATCCATGCAGGTTGACGTCAACAGGGTTTTCTGCAGGTGCAAGGGTCTGTCCACGTGAGTCTGACAGGGGGCTACCTGACTATACATGGTACCAGACTATACACAAAGTGGTGTCAGGTACAGGTAATAAAAAGACAAAACAGAGAAAAATATACTTTCACTGACTTATTTTAACTATAATAATCAGAGGGGTTTCTGGTAACTATAACAGGTACAAAATTTTCAGCGAGAGAGGTGATTGTCTACATTTATTCCTTTCAACAGTACAGTCTACAAGTCAGAATTTGTATGCAAGGAAACAATCACTCTGCATGATTGGAACAATGGCATAGTCATTTTCTGTAGAACTTCCTTTCAGATTACTCATGTGGATTTTATCCTTTGTATTGTGTTGTAGAAAGTCCCCATTATTTTGTGATCTCACAGAGAACATTCTAAATGAAACTGGCAATATACAGAAAACGCTAAACTCCAGCAGAATGGAATAGAAAGAGTAAAATAAGGAAAATACAGTAAGAATTAAGAATAGCTCTTCCTTTTTTTCTTCCCAAAGGAAATAAGTGATTTTTATCCAGACATTTTTTCATTACTGCAACAATGGTTCACTTTGGCCACACTTCAATGTGCATTAGAGGTCAGGAAAATCTCATGTAAACATACCAGGGCCAATTGTGCTTTTTTTCCCTTGTAAGTCTGGCGTAACTCCACTGATTTCACAAGAATAACTGCAGTTTGGGTCACTACATATAGATTCTGAGCCACCTAACTACAGAAGAATTCTCTGAGATCCTTAGCATTTAAATACATTTAGTACAAATAAATGGAGTCCTCACAATTGAAGGTCACTTCATTCAATCTTCCAACAACATTTTATAATGTTTCTCATGTTACAAATTAAATGTAGAAAAAATATTAAAATGCTTAACAAATGTATGGGCCCAACATAGTTCAGGCCTACTATATGTCTTTCTTCATTCCCAGGTTGACAAAAGCAGGGTGTGCTGCAGATGGATAGTCAGCTCCTTGAGTGCAGCAACTCATTGAGAGCTTGATTGTACTCCTTGAGCATACTCCCACTGAGCTCAATTAAAGCCCTACTGTTGACTTCCAGGGAAGTTGCAAGTGCTCAGCAATTCTCAGGATGTGAGCCTAATATAACAAATGGTTTTGATAGGATCAGTGGGATTAAGCATCAACTCACCTTGATCACAGGGAGTGGTGTTGTGATCTGAGATCTCAGAGTCAGGGGGAATAGTCAGGGAGAGTCAGGTCAGATACACAGAAATTTCTCTTCTGCTCTCACAACTCCATTTGCCCCAGTGACCCTATCCCATCTCCTGATCTCCCCGGTGCCCACTCCCCTCCCTTGCCTTTCTCCTTAAACTCTCGCTCTTCTCTGGCTCCTTCCCCTCAAAAAACAAACATACTTTACTCTCTCCCATGCTAAAAAAAAACCCCAATACACCCCACTTGCCTCTCGAACTACTGCCCCATCTCCCTTACACCTCTAAGCTCCCTGAACATGCTATTTACAAGAACTGTCTGAAGTTCCTCTCTTCCAGTTCTGTCCTGGACACTCCCCTATCTGGCTTCCACCCCTGTGTTCCACTGAAACCGCTCTTGCCAAAGTCTGTAATGACCTCCTCTTAGTTATATCTCAGAACCAGAACGCCATGCTCATCTGCCTTGACCTGTCAGCTGCCTTTGACCTCAAATGCTCTTGAAATCTTGTCCTCCCTTGGCTTTAATGACTTTGTCCTCTCCTGGGCCTCCCCTTACCTCTCTAACTGCTCCTTCAGAGTATCCTCATCCGCCCTGCAGTGGTGGTTCCACAGGGCTCTGTTCTTTGCTGCATTCTCTTCCCTGTCAACATCAATGGCCCTCAGACTGAGGATTGCGAGCTGCAAACGGCTCTTTAATGTGTCTCCTGCAGCTCTCTGCAGCACATGATATTAAAACACAATGTGATTTAACTATTAACCAATCTAAGTTGTTAACCAAGCAGGATGCTTTTACTATGTTATTAACCAATTAAAGTATTAACCAGTCAGGATGCTTTTACTATGATCACATATTTCCTTGCCTGAGCTATTGAATATATAGTACTATAGTAAATAAAACAAGGAATTCACACAACTGTGGCTATTTTGGGTAATGTTGATAGCTAATTTGGCTCCTGAACCACTGAGGCCTTAGTAGCACTGCACTACACCTTATCTCTGGGTAATCTCATATGTAAACACAAGTTCAACTACCACGACTACTCCCAGATCTACCTCTCTACTCCAAACCCATCTCCTTGTGTCCGAACTAAAATCTCTGCCTATCCATCTGACGTCTCCTTGTGGATGTCTAAATATCAGCTCAAGCTCAACATGGCTAAAACAGAGCTCCTAATCGCCCCTTCCAAAGCTCTCCCTGCTACCACCTTTCTTGATTACTGTGGACAATACCATCATCCTGTCTGTCACTCCAGCCTGCAACCTGGGTGTCATCTTTGTCTCAGACCTCTCTCTAGCTCCTCACATTCAGGCTGTCTTAGTCTTGCAGACTCTTTCTGAATAACATCTCTAAAATATGACTTTTCCTGTCCATCCACACAGCTGAAACTCTCATCCAGCCTCTCATCACATTGTATCTTAATTACTGCAACATCCTTTTCTCTGATAGTCTTGCCCCACTCATGTACATTCAGAATGCTGCTGCAAAGATCACTTTCCTAGTGCATTGCTTTACCATGTCATCCCTTTGCATGCCTTCATTGGCTCCCTCTTCTGTACAGAATCAAACAAACTAGCTGTCTTCACTTTCAAGGCCCTTCAGAGCCAATCCCTACCTTACCCTGTCAACTCCCATTCAGTACTGAAATGTTGACTCCTGCCTCCAGTTGGCCCATGACTGACCCTCCATCACTCCCCTGTAAAATTTTCAGACTCCTTTGTGCTTTCTCCCATGCTGCTCCTTACACTTGGGAAGAGCTCCCCATAAACATCCACAGAACTAATACATTATACTCTTTCAAAATCCTCCTAAAAACTCTCTTTGCCATGATACCAACAAAAAACTTTACAGGGGTTAGGCTGCTGGTGTGCTAAGACTATTGCCAACCAGTACTGTCTCATTGTTTACTTGCCCTCCCACAGCTGTCTGTATCCATCTGTTGTATCTTGTCTTATATTTAGATTACAAGCTTTTGGGGGCAGAGACCATCTTTTTATTCTGTGTTTGTACAGCTCCTAGCACACTGGGGTCCTGGTCCATGACGAGGATTCCTAGGCACTGTGCTGCTGCTGCTGCTAATATTAATAAATAAAGGTGTTAAGATGTATCAATAACTTAACTGCCTCTTCAAATGTTTACACTGGGAGTTTATACTTCACTTTGGGTACAATCTGTAAGTATTTTGGATGGTGCACAGTAGCAAGGCACTAATTTGTGTATATCATGTCAGAGTTTTAGAGCAAATGCAACCTCAGTTACTGAAAACAACCCAATGATCATGTTAACTATGTTGCAAATACAAAAGACTGTACCCGGACTATGTACTTCCACCATAACAGGAACCCTCAAAGCTGGTCTTAGCTGAAAAAATAGTAAATAGCCATCTTCCTGAAAGCTACTGTGCAATATTGCAAGCTAACTCCCTGTCTGGGTCTTATCCTAAATCACAGAAGTCAGTGGCAAAACTAACAGATTTCAGTGACACAAGATTGGCCCCTTGCTAGGGTTGCCAACTTTCTAATTGCACAAAACTGAACACCCTGGTCCCGCCCCTTCCCCGAAGCCCCACCCACTGCACACTACATTCCCCCTCCCTCGGTGGCTCGCTCTCCCCCACCTTCACTCACTTTTACTGGGCTGAGGCAGGGGTTGGGGTGTGGAAGGGAGTGTGGGCTCTGGGGTGGGGCCAGAAATGAGGGGTTCAGGGTGTGGGGGGGGGGGCTCCGGGCTGGGGCAGGGAGGTGGGCTGTGGAAGGGGGTGAGGATTCCAGCTGGTGGTGCGGGCTCTGGGGTGGGTCCGAGGGATTCAGAAGGTGGAAGGGGGCTGTGGGTTGAGGCAGGGGATTGAAGTGGGGGAGGGGGTATGGGTCCTGGGCTGGGGGTGCAGGCTGTGGGTTGGGGCCAGGGATGAGGGGGTTTGGAGTGCAGGAGGCGGCTCCAGGTTTGGGGGGGGGGCTCTGGGTTGGGGCACAGGTTTACCTTGGGCGGCTCCCAGTCAGCAGCGCAGCAGGGCTAAGGCAGAGTCCCTGCCTGTTCTGGAACCGCGCTGTGCTCTGGAAGTGGCCAGCAGCAGGTCTGGCTCCTAGGCGGGGGCGGGGGGGGGAGGCAGGAGGCTCCCTGTGCTGCTCTCGCCCACAGGAGCCACCCACCCTGCTCCCATTGGCCATGATTCCCGGCCAATGGGAGTGCAGAGCCAGTGCTCAGGGCAGGGGCAGCACACAGAGCCCTGTGACCGCCCTGCCTAGGAGCCAGACCTGCTGGCCGCTTCTGTGGCGTAGCATGGTGCCAGGACAGGTAGGGACTAGTCTGCCTGAGACCTGCAGCACCGCTGACCGATCTTTTAACGGCCCGGTCGGCGGTGCGGACAGAGCCACCAGGGTCCTTTCTCGACCCAGTGTTCCAGTTGAAAACCAAAAGCCTGGCAACCCTACCCCTTGCTTATGTATTCCACTAAAAAAGAAGCAACAAGCCACTTTTTGTTTACAGATCCAATATTGCCACTCTCTGACTATTATCAAAGACATTAAGTAAACTCGTGTGTTAACATGCAGTGCGGCCTTTACAAATTCAGTGCAAACACACATCCTTTCATAAGCACCTTCTCATTTTCTAAAACTGATACTTTTTGCCTTTTCCGCTCCTTTGTTTTTTCAAGTTGGGACTTTAACTCTTCCATTTCAAGAACCAACTTGCTTTGCTTCATCTTGGTCATCTGGTCTTGTGTTTTCTCATTATTCTGAATTCTTTGCAGCTGGGCTTTTAACTCCTCCATTTCAACTAACAAACTATCCTGGGGAAAAAGAAAAAAAAACATAAAGCACACTTACTATTATTTTGTATCCATTCTAAATAAATGTTTAACACACCCTGATTCTGTGTAATAAATATGCATTTATACATCCTGGGACAAGATCATGCCTGTAGATCTGCCCCAACCATAAAGGAGTATCACAGCTCTAGTTACAGACTCAAGAGTTCCATGCATGGAGTAGGCTTGGGGTGATATTAACAGTTCTGTAGATTCAGGGGTCAAACTGGGCTGGGACACATTGTTTTAGATGACTTTGCCTTTTTTTTTTTTTTTTTTTTAAAGGCTGCCACCTTGTTCTCTAGAAACAGAGCAATTATTTTAAAAAGTAAGGATGAAATCCTAGTCTCCCTGAAGCCAATGAGAGTTTTGCCACTGATTTCAACGGGGCCGGGATTGCACCTCAAGTCTCTAATCCTTATGGTTGCAGAGTAAACCTGGAAACCTTGAAAATGTGACATCAGCATAACGAATGCAGTATTACCTGCCTGCATCTGCACAGAGCAGACTAGGCTTCTAGCCATCATGGGGCTTCAGACTCCAACCCCTGGCCATGAGGTGGTGGGCTCCGATCCCTGGCTCTCGCTGCGTGGCCCCAACCCCCAATCCCACCAGCAGCTGCTGGCCTCAGGCACTGACCCCCATCCGTGCCCTCCAACCCACAGACCTAGTCACTGACCCCAGGAGCTGGTGCTCGGGGTGGGGGCAGCGTGCGGAGCCCCATGGCCTGCCCTCCTAGGAGCCAGACCTGCTGCTGGCCGCTTCTGGGGCGCAGTGCAGTGTCAGAAGAGGTAGCGACTAGCCTGCCTTAGCCGGGCACCACTGCCGATGGGACTTTTAACGGCCCAGTTGGCCGTGCTGACCAGAGCCGCCGTGACCCAGTGCCTTACATTCCGCAACCAACTACTGAGTTGCGACCTGCAGTTTGAAAACCACTGGTCTACAAGATACTGTCCCGTTTTAAAGTACAATGAGTAGTCTGTTTCTAGTGCTAGCAGTGATTGCTCATGTGTTGCTATGAGAAGTGCCTCTATATAACATTAATCTTGTGAGGGTATAAAGATTTCTTGAGGGATGACCAGTGTCATGAGATAATTGTTTCAAAATCAAATAACACACAATAATGCTCTTAAAAATGTCTTCTAATGGGGGGGGGGAAACGGTGTTTTACACTCTTATTTTTATTGATTTATATTTTGTTTATTTATGGTGTACCACCAACAGCCTGAAAAATGAGTACATTTTTTTTTTCTTCTTGGAAAAATCAGGAATATAAAGTTTCAAGTTCCTTGCTTTTGTTAGCTGTCTCCTTGGAGAATGAAAAATGTGAAATGTGATCTTTCCCAGTCCTGAATTTAAGACAGGGTCTTAAGACAATTATCTCATGACAGGGTCTTGGTCTTTTGGAACATTCATACCCTAATGGGCTGCGTGTGGCCCTTGGGCCACTGCTCTATGGGCAGCCACTGCAGCTTCATGCCCTGCAATGAGGTAAGAGGCTACCTGATCAGGTTGTGGGGCTTCCACCTGCAAATCTGCTTCCATCTTCCACCTCCTTTTCTTTGTAAACATAAAAATGTATGTATGTTCCAAAAGACCAAGACTAGCCACACACTCACCCAGACCATCCTTTTCATGAGATGTGAGGGTCAGTAAAAACTTGAGTGCAGCTGCACTTTAATTCTTTCTTTCTATTGTAAGCATTTAGCCATTTTGTCTCTGCTGTTCCAGAGCTCTCGATTGCAATGGCTGTACACTGATGGCACTGTGGATGGGCAGGGTTTTCTTCATCCTCGGGTTTACATATTTAATGATGTCTCGGGACTTGGCTTAATCATATATAAAATCAGATGTACTGGTCATATAAAGCCACCTTATCAGGAACCAGGAGTTGTATTTTTCATTTCTGGAGGAAAGCCTCAATTCAGTCAGTAGGCAAACGGATTAATGCCCTGGATGCCTATTTACCATTGGAAAAAGCTATTTACAGAGTAAGAGGTTCTCCTAAAATGGTGAGCAAAAATGGAAATCCTATCTGAGGTTTAAAACACTCAGTAACATGCACTGTTTGTGTTGCCTGGGGGTGTGGGATTGTTCCTGAATGTTTACTTGAATATTTTAAATGCCTTATCCTTTTCTTTCGTTAGGTACAGTTTTGAGTAGGAATCAAATAAGACAAAAATAGTAGACGTGCTCTTCCAAACTCTACCCACAAACTAAACTCTATCCTCCCACGGTAAAGCAATGAGATGCCATTCACAATAGATTGTTCAGATCTACATACTATGATTGTCCATCAGCTTGATCAGCTGTGAAATAATCAGTGCTTAATTTGTGTCTGGGGTTGCCACCTGGCATCTCTGAGCTTGCTGCATCAGTTATGAATATAAAAAAATTGCTTGAGCCCCAGCACCTCTTTCATTATAAATTAAGCATTGGAAATAATTAATGTTTATATTTATAATTAGGCTTCAGAGTCAACACCTCACAGAGATGAACGGCAGTTATTCACATTTCTCTGAACTATTGTATCAGGCTGCCTGGAGGCTCTGTGTCAACCGGTTCTCTGAAACAACGAGGGCTAGATTTTCTGGTCTGCTAAGGCCACTGTATGCTGAATAAACAGTATAATGTGCACTTAAAGCAGCTGGAGATACTCAGTGGAGCATTTCCCCTGTGTATGAGGGAATTACTACTGGCAGAGGCAGTTCTTCTACCTTCTGTCCCCCAACTCCTGGTATGAGAGTTTAAGGTGCAGCAAGTCTAGAATCCAGACCTGAAGAGTTGCCAGGTAGTAGACAGCTCCATGGTACCATCCAGTAGAAGCTGTAACCAGTTGTTGCTTCATTACCCATGACACTCTGTGGACACAGACCATGGAAAGTCCCACCTCAAGGGGTCTGAGCCAGCAACCTCATGGCTTCTAATTGGCTCCTCACAATACATAAAACCCAAAGGGAAGTCCAGGCAATAGTGTAGATCTCATGTAGCTGCTACAACCATTCTGGTTCTTGAATTCCTGGTTTTGACCATGGCTTGATCTGGACTTTGCCTCCTGACCTGGAACCTGAATCCTAACTCTGACTCTGACCCTTGGTATTGACCCTGGTCTGGAACCTGACTATGTGAACTCCTCCGCTACTCCCAGCCTCAGGTCTGGCCCTGCCCTGACCCTTGACTCAGAATGCCCTTCTCAGGGTCCCGACAGAGGGGGCGAGAAGGAGGCATGGCAACATGAGCTTTGCTTTTCTTGATTCTCCACAGGCATACGTTAGAGCTGATCCTCTGCAGCTCAACATCAGGAAGTCCTCTGCTTGGACACAGTGGAGAATTAACCCACTAATTTTCAAATGAAAGCTTAGATTCTGGAGCATTAGATGTCACCCATCACAAAAAAGTACTTGGGCTTGCTGAGTTGCTGTGAGTTGGCCCAATTTACCCCTGGCTTTGTGTTGGTTCTAAAAACTGCAGAACAGGACATACTGCTCTCCTTTAAGTAAAGATTAAATTTTTGTCCCCCCCCCCCTTCTCTGATACATCAGTTTATTCCTGAAAGCAGTTTAGCACTGAATAGTCATTAGGGTCTCAAAATCCAGAGCCCGTTGAAGTCAATGCCAAGTACCAGGCCCAGATCCAAAGGGACTTAGATGCGTAAACCCCAGATTTAGGTACCTAAACCCTGCACCACCTAATTCCAGGAAAGGAGTTCCTGGCTGCAGATCACAAGCAGTGATAAGCACCTCCCTGCCTAACGTTGTGAGAGGGATGGGGCTTAGGCACACCCCCAGTAGAGATATGTTTATGAACTACTGTGATTTGGAGATGCTTCCTCCTAAGGGACTGTGTTGTGAGTGTTACAATGTGGAGATGTGCCCTGGAAGTAGGGGTTGGGAACAGTGCATGACTACGTACAGCAGTTCATCAGAGATGCTTTTCAGTTTGTTTTATTAAAGTTTTATTCCTTTCTCATTCACTGGTTTGTTAGTTAATGAACCCCAATATGGTTACAGCCTTCTTGCCTGGCTAGCTGAAGCAGCTCCTCAGGATGCTAGCTTTTGTGGATCCTGCTCTTAGGCATCCATTTCTCTCCATTCATTATTTAACTTAGGCTTTGCGGATCCTGTGATTTTCAAGGCACCTAAAATTTAGGAACTGCAATACTGAGCATTGCAACATCAAGTCCCTTTGTGGATCTGACTTCTAGGGGCTTTGGATCAGTCCTTAGCACATTTGACTAGGAATTAGGAGCTCTGGCTTCTCTTCTTGACCCACTGTGAGACTTCAGGTAAGTGATCACCTCTGTCTTTGTTTCTCCTTCTTTAAAATGGAAACAAAATTTACCCACCTCTCTAATATACTTTGAGATCCTTGTATGGAAAGCGTTCTACACATGCAAAAACATTGTTATTGGAATTATTGTTCAAATAGCTAAAAACATTGTAATTTCCCTCAATTGTCCAGAAAAATCAGGACTGTAGCTTCCTCGCAGGACAAGAATGAACCAGCATTTACATTTCTGTCACTAATGGTGGCTTATATGAAGTTAGCCAGCAGGTAGGTTCCACATCACACCTTGCCGCCAGTATAAGCAAAGTACACAAGTTCTGAATAGGCATGGAGTTTAAACTACCCTGTCAGCCCCAGAGCTGGGCCCTCTAGAGCAGGGCTGGAACAGACTGGCAGAGCAGCATAAGACAGACTCTCCTGTCACTGTCTGTGCTATATCTGTTTCGTGTGTAAGACCACTAGTCACACACATGTGGGCTTCCCTCTCCAGAGACCTCTCAGGTATGTTTCAGGAACAGTAAGTTCACCTTCAAATTTTGAAAGTGTATCAAGGAATAGAAACAAATCACAGACAACAAGCACAATAGAGCCAGTATATATTGTTCACTGTATCCAGCAGATGGCAATCTACTTACAGCACCACATAGAAAACAGCAAACAGAATCTCCTGACTCCTAATATGTGCCCAACAATGAGTGTGTTGAGAGGAAAGAAGCTGACAGTCATAACATATTTTAATTTTGTGTTTTTAAAAAATAGTTTTTAAATGAGTGAATTTGAAAAAGGCACTGGATGGCAAGAAGGCCTTATATAATAAGGTAACGAATAAACCATATAACATTTATTTTGAAAATACTTTCAATTTACACACCCATTCCATGAAAGAGAGTACCTATCGTTTGCTCCCTAACAGATTTTAAAAATACAACTAAACAGAGTACTCCAGGAATTCTTTGACCAATGAGTAACGTAAATCATTAATATTGAACAAGTCAAAGAAAATAAGATAAGAAAATGAGAACAGGAGCAAATTCTGGAACCAACCCCATTCAAGGAAAACTTCATCCTAGATGAGGAATTTTATCTTCCCAGATCTTGACTGTTTGATGCAGATATTCAGGGATGCAAAACAAAGCTTCCTGAATGAGAGAGTAAAAACTGTTTCCTGCATGATTAACCGTGGTTTCTAATGAAAGTGTTAGATCTTTTAAGAACTATTCCCCTACTATTAGAAATAAGACAGTCTGAAAGCAGAAGGATATGAAAGGACTGTTACAGTAGAACCTCAGAGTTATGAACATTTCAGAGTTCCAAACAACCTCCATTCCTGAGGTGTTCATAACTGAACAAAACATTATGGTTGTTCTTTCAATAGTTTATAATTGAGCATTGACTTAATACAGCTTTGAAACTTTACTATGCAGAAGAAAAATGCTGCTTTTAACCATCTTAATTTAAATGAAACAAGCACAGAAACAGTTTCCTTACTTTATCAAGTCTTTTTTTTAAACCCCCCCCCTTTTTTTTTTTTTTTTTTAGTACTTTACATTCAAAACAGTACTGTACTGCATTTGCTTTTTTTGTCTCTGCTGCTGCCTGATTGTGTAGGTTTGTGGTTGACTGGTCAGTTCATAACTCTGGTGTTTGTAACTATAGTAGAACCTGAGAGTTACAATAACTCTATTTTACTCTGCAGTTATTTATTTCTGCGAAAAGAACAAGTTATATAATGCTTACAGAAGACTGGTTCTACAATTGTTAAATTTAATTGATTTTTTTGTTTTTTTGGTGTGCCAATTTGAGCCCCAATCCTGAAAAGACTTACACCTTCATGCACTGCAAGTAGTTCCATTGCTTTAGCAGTACAATGTATAGTGTAAGATTATGCACATGTGTGAGTCTTTGCAGGATCAGGATGTTGGGGTTATTTGCACAGGTGTGCAAAGCTCCTTTGATTCCCCTTTCCCGTGTCATGCCAGCCACTGCTGAGCTGTGCTCAGTGCTTTATATTCCTAACAAAATCAACTCAAGTTGGATCCCGTATTTACACTTTGTGTGTTTGTGAAAAGCTAAGTAAGCGTAATGTTTCAGGGAATATTTAAATTTGTAAACAACATTTATAAATTAAAAGTAAATAAAATTAGCACTGTCAATACCCATCATTTTCTATCCAAAGGAAAAGCAACATTATCTAATGGAACATTTTCCATGTTATATTTCTGATACTTCAGGTCAAGTCCTTCATTTGTACAAGTCTAGCTGTGTTTCCTGTCAGATTTAAATGGATCTCTTATCTCTTCTGCACTAAAACTAATAGTAAAATCAGACTATTTCCAGACTGCAGTTGCAATCATGGATGAAAAATTGTCACACTGTATGTTGACAAACCAGCAAGACAAGTTAATTCATGAAATTTCAGGTGTACGGCAGCAGGTCGGTACAACTTTGCAACTTTTTTCTAATTCAATAGATTCAACCATATTTCCAGCTTTCTTCAATGCGGGGAAGGAGAAGACATATGGGAAAAAAAGTCTGATTTATAAGAATGTTTATCCTTCCTAGACTAAAACAAGTCTTGTTCTTGGAGACAGCCTGGTATAGGTAATATGCTTGATGAAACTGGACTCTGCAGGCTTCATTAAGTTCTTTCTCTACTGAATCAGTTTCTAGTTTATATCTAAAACGTGACACATTGGGATGTCTTTGTTTTTATCTCTCAAGCAGTTCTGTTATTCAGTGTGATCTTTTTAAAAAGTGCTTTATAAAGATACTCCAATTCTTGAGACCTCAGTAGTACTTTGCAGGAAAAACAACAAAAACAAAAAGTGAAACAGACTTTTACCATTTGTTGCTGCTTCCCTTTGCTCTCCTCTTCTGGTTTGTTCAGGTCTGATCTGCTTCTTATATATGCTTGTTCATTTTTACACATTCCTACCAAACCATCAAGAAAGGAAGCTTCCCCTCTCAGGTGCTGCTGTTCTTCCTGATTTAATAAAAGGAAAAATTAAGTCAGTGCAAGAGTCATTGCACATTTTATAGTGGCAGTGCACATTATGTTTCTTGTTTTCATATGACAAAAAAAGAGGCTCTTGTTAATACTTATAATTCCAAGTTGCTATTGTTTTCATGGATTCTGGCTGTTGCACACCAGCATAACTTGTGCAGTAATTGGTCACACCCAGGACAAACAAGGCAATTTAGAGACAAAATATAAAGGCAGAGAGTTGCTAACCAGCCATTTATTTAGGAGGAGACACTAAGATCCTGATCTTACAGTTACATGCTTGACTTTACACATGGGAGTAGTTTCACTGACTTCAACAGGACAACTTGTATAATGTCAAGCATGTAAATAGCTGTTAGCAAGATAAGAACCTAGGCATTAAAAATATGCCCCCCAAAAAAAGTTTTAGGGGAAAACCCACTATAAGAATAATCCCTTATGGAACAGTTCTTTATCCTATTGATTTTTAAACAGAAAATGATAACCTTCCTATGGAAACTTTGAAATATACTGTAGAGTTCAATAAAGAATTCTATCCCTGCTGTAGAAGTCTATAGGGTGGTTCAAAAAAAAAAAAACCTAAGAAAGGACAGAATTCTCTATTCATGCTATAGATCTTAAAATAATAACCCTATTACATTTCTAAAGTGGCCTGTCGGTTTAGATCCCAGTTCCTCAAAGTACTTAAGCACATATCTAACTTTTAATCATATGACTTCAATGGGACTACTCAAATGCTTAGGTTTAGGTTTAGGACCTCACTGAACTGAGGCTCTATTCTCTAAGATTTCCAGGAACTTTCTGTAAGGGTAAATCCATAGGTGTTCAGAAAAGGAGAGTTCTGTTTATTGCTGAAGTTCTAAAGGGACGAGGAAGTGAAAAAAACTTTTTAAAAAACAGGATTACAGAAGACTAAAGTTGTGCTATGGGACACCATAATTTTCAATATACCATAGCGGAAGTTCTCTTCTACTTCAAACATTTAGAGCCAGATTTCACCACCATACTGCGTAGCACCTTATTCTAGAGGCAAGTCTGCTTTATTTTAAAGTGGATTTTGCAGTACAATATAGACATGATGGAATTACACCAAGGATCAGGTTGGCTTGCAGAGTTCTTTACTGTCTAAAGACCAAACATGAACATTTATTCTTCAGTCATTGTTTCATTACAACAGGGCTCCCTCCAATGAGTATCCAAAGGCCTCAGCAAAACATTCATTATTATTTTGGGGCACTTAAAATGCTGTATAATAAACATGCCATACCATGTCATGTCATTACCTCTAACATGTCACTAACACTAATGCCACCAAAAGTGAAAATACTGGAAAATTGTGGGTGGGTGTGTGGTGTGGGGTTATATTCTCTCTCTTTTAAAAAAAAATCCACACCTTTCCATTATTTAGGTTTCAGCCACCTCACCTCATGTCTCATTACAGCAAAAAAGTAGATAGCAACCAAACAGAATTAGAAAAGATGAATGATTCCATCTGGAACTGAATAGTGTTGGTTCTGTTTAAAGTTCCCTCCTTTCTTGCAATGCCCTCTGATCCACATACGCACACTGATATGCAGCATAGGGAATAACAGGAGCACATTCCTCTGAAGTCATATTAAAAGGCAGGTATCTTTGACTTACCACAGAGCAGGTTACTTCACTCTCTTGCCCTTGAGCTGGTTTATTATGCTCTTCATATCTTTTCAGCTCAGCTTCTAGCTCCACAATTGTCTTCTGCAAGGCCTCCTTGTCCCTCTTTGACTGCAAAATGAACTTGTCGTACTCATTCTGGATCCTCCTTTCCTTTTTGCAATTTGGACACTCTGGAACTTGGTGTGTCTCGGCTGATAGTCCTTCTGATGCTACCTTTGAAGATGGCAAATCTAACCTGGATTTGTTTTTCAGTTTAATCTCTCTAGTACTATGAAGAGGCACCACTAAAGTGTTTGAGCGAGCCTTGAGGTATCGACTGTGGTCTGTTGTTACTTTACTTTTATCCACAGCAGTAACAGACTGGATGGGTGCTGAAATCTTCTCCGATGGCTTCTCCACCTGAGGCAGGTTGATTTTCTGCCCCCGGATGTCTCTGGAAACATCTAGGTTTGATACATGATCCTTGCAGCTTTTGTACATAGATCTGGAGGGGGTACTGAGACTGAAGTGAATAGGAGGAAAGGAAGTCTGCAGCTGTGGGACCCATTTTTAATTGTATTACTTTCTCAAAAAATAATAGTTAAGAAACAAAACAGCATGATTTTTTATCAAAGCATAGTTAACTCGTAGTAATTTTTGTTGTTGCATTCTCCAATCTCCATTTGTAAGCACAGAACAATAAATAAGATCTCTAAGTACTGAATTAGGGGATAATTAGTACTGATATTCCTAAGGAGGTTACTACCATGGGGTTAAGCCTTTAGCATTCATAAATCTCAAAGTATTTTATTAAGTAAAGTAAGCATTATTATTCTCGTTTTACAAATAAGGATACTGATACACAGGGAAGCGGAGTGACTTGCTCAAATTTACATATCAAGTTAGTATCTGGATCAAGAATAAAACCAAGTTATAGAAATTTCAGAAACTCCTAAGTGACTTGCAATCATAAATCATTTAAGCGCTTTTGAAAATACCACTCCAGCTCTCCTGGTTCTCCAAGTAGGACACCAACCACTGAACCACTCTGCCTACCATGAAGTTAACGGGAATTTAGCTGCAGTAAGGAATGACTAAGAAATGCAGGATTTGTTAGGTACAGAATTCTTCCCTAGATTATTTATATAGTACTGGCACTGAATTCCACAATACATTGAGAGATAATCTACTTACCAGGTTAAAATTCTCATTTGCAGACTCTCTACTTACAGTTGTATTCCAAGTTTTAAAAATTATGGCCTGATTCTCAATTACTTTGCACCTTGTGTAATCATTCACACCCATCCATAGCCGTAATAATGGCATATAACTCTTATACAGTGCTTTTCATCCACAGATCTCAAAGCATTAGAGCCAATTCATCCCCGTGCTAGTGCTCAGTCAGGGGGAAGCCAATGCACCTTCCCTATTCTGGGGTTCTTGGGGGTTAGATCAAGTCAAACACAGTTAACAGCAGCCTTATGGGTTGCCCTAACTTGCACCGCATCTGCAGTGGCCCATACAGGAGCTGTGCCACCCAAGAACAGCTGGAGTCATGACCACCTCACCTCAATCTGCACCCAACTTGCTTCAGGCACCAAAGGCTCCTGGATATTCCTTGTGGAAGTCCCTATAGCTGCTTTATTTCCCCTTTGTGCCATCATGGCAGAAAAAAAGGGGCCACAGGGCAGGGATGAACTCCCTCTGTGAGTGCAAAGTGGGTGCAAAATGCTACCATTCTGATTTGATATTGTTTTATAGTCATTTTACACAGGTGTAAATGGCTATCCACAGTGCAGAGCTCTGGAGAAATCAGACCTTCCTAGTAATTTTAAAGTAACACTGTCTGCCTGAAATCTAGTCCATTTAGAACAAATGAATTCAATGTACAGTCATTTCAGTTACTGGACTACACCTGCCCCGGAGTCCCCTTGTCAATTCTGTGATTTTAAAAATCACATTTTCTTATCTTTTTTCTTTCCCCTGATGCTGTATGAAAACCACCCACAAAAAGCAGAATCTGACTAGCTATACAAGGAAATAGTGAAAGACTGTACATCAAGTGCTGTCAAATGCACAAAGTAATCAAGCTGGAAGAAAGATCTCATTTTGCTATAATAACCTTTGGTGCTAACTAAAATAATAGCAGGTAAAAAGTTTTCAGACAGAAGTGAGATTTTTTTCAAGCAGATAGTGTCCCTCTAAGAGGTATAAATAGGACTGGGAAAAGGGAGTGAAATAACTGGCTGACAAAGATTCCAACCTCAGCCAAAATAGTACACCAAAACATAAAAACGGCAGAAACAGTAAGCCTTGTAGCCCTTTCCAGATTAATAGATCAAAGGAATAAAAGGAGTATGGGGGGAAAAAAACCTAATTTTTTTAAAGTGCAGATAATTACGGAAATACTAGCGTTCCAAGATGAAACAAGAAGAGCCACATAAGAGACAAATAGAAGTGTCAAGAATTTTTACACACGCTTACTTAACCTGTGTAGTTTTCCACCACCTTCAACTTGGTCTTAACCTTACAGGGCTGATTCTGCTATCATTTGCACTAATATAATTCCGGAATAATTTCACTGAAGTCAACAGCATTACACTCAAGTAAATCCTGTGCAAGTAACAGGTAAAAACCAGGCCCAAAGTTTTAAGCATCAGGGAGTACAGAAAACATGTTCAACATGAATGCAGTTGTAACTGGTCTAGTACGCAAACGCTTTGGCTTTTACCTTTCTTGCATTTGTAGTCTCAAATAATCCACTTTTTTTCCTGGGATTCTTCTGAGCAGAAAGTGCACAGAGTGTCTTCAATTAAAACAGAAATAGCAGAAGATCAACAAAGCTTTTCACCAGACTAATACAAACAAACCTGTTGTATTGTACCAGTTTATATGTTTTTTTCCATAGATAAGATCCTCTATGAGTAAAACTGGTAAAAGACATTTCATAAAGCACTTTGAGTTCTGAACTGAAATACAAAAGTCTGATCCACTTTATGTAAAGAGTAACCCTTTCATACAGGCCACATTGCAGAGACTGACATTTGAAAAATGTTCTAATTCACCAGGAAGGTAGGTTCAGAAAGCTTCACACATATCCCTTCACCACAGTTTTGAAATGAGGTTCAGCTAAATCAATTACATGTACAGCTTTTATTTTTGTACATGTTGTTACTGTCACTCTTATCAACATAATTAAATTTCTCAAACTCAGATTTATAATAATTGAAAACCATTGATGCAATGCAGTCCTATTGTTGTATTAATTTAATTGACACCCAAGGTCTAAGCTTTTAACCCTGGGTAAAAAATATACCACTGATATACCATCCTTCCCTCAACCACAACACACTTCCTGCAATTTAAAGGGGTATTTGTGCACTGTTTAGTGTGCACTATATTTAATTGTAATATATTGTCAAGCAAGATAATGCAATGAAAAAAATTAAATGTGACTTATGGGTATGGCTGATATGGTTGAATAAATTAGTTGATGGATAGTGGTGAAAATGATGAAGTGAAATATGTGTGAAGGCTGTTCAATTAGCTTGGTTCACTAGCAGATCTTGCTTTTGTCACACTTAGCTGGCTTCCCTCCACTTTTTCTTTCCCCTCCCTATTAGGTTCTGATGTCTCTTTTTCCCCAAAGTAGTTGTTTTCAGTGTCTGCTTCTTTTTTTCCTTCTCTTCCCTTATTCCTCTCTTGCCGTCTCTACACTGTGTTCTCTGCCTCTCTCTCCCTTTTCCCTCCCATTTCTCCAGACACCATCTAAATCATAGGCACTGATTCCACGGGTGCTCCAGGGCTTAAGCACCCATGGGGAAAACACAGGGGGTTCTCAGCACCAATCAGCTGGCAGAAGGCACTTGGGGGAGGGAGGAGAGCAGCGAGCGGGTGGGGGGCATCAGGGAGGAGGTGGGAAGAGATGGAGTGACAGAGGGGCCTTGAGAGGGCGGAGCAGGGGCGGAAAGAGGCAGAGCGAGGGCAGGGCCTCAGGGGCAGGGTGGGAGGCAGCACAGCGAGGGCAGGGCCTCGGAGGCGGGAAGAGGCAGAGCGGGGGTGGCTCGGGGAAAGAGGTGGAGCAGGTGCAGGGGCCTTGGGGTGGAACACTCACCAGGAAAAATAAAAGTCAGCCCCCATGCTTGAAATACCTTACCTCTCTTATTGTAGCCCATCTCATCCCCCCACTCTTGCTCACCCTCAAACATCTCCGTGCATCCACCCATATTCTCACCTAAAGGGCTTGGAAATATTACCAGATACCTACTAGTCAGACTTGCTAGTTACTGGCCTGTACAAAAGATGAATGGGTAGGAATTGGCCAGGGGTAATACTGAGGTAAGAGACCAATCTCCCCACTGCTGCCAGGAAAGAGGAGGATGCTGGAATTTCTACCTAGATGCTGTCCCTGGCCCCCCTCTTTCATATCAGTCTCTAGCTACTAGATGACAGATAAATGTGAAACTCTCTGAAAGTCCTTGATTAGGTGGGGTCTCCACTACTCTAACTATATCTTTGTTTTTGAGTAATCCCTCTCAGTGAATAGCTCCATTGCCTGCTTTGGCTCAGAGTTCCCAAGCAACATTAGGGTGAAGTGGACCTTAATTCTTGCCACTTTTACAACTGCGTACAGGATTCTGAATAGCAACAGACACAACTGACAAGACTGTTTAGCTTTTTCGGTGCTGCATCTTGGGAAAGCTTTGAGCAACAGCAGAAACATTGCATTTGGACTGTCCATTTGCAGACTCAGGAAGACAGCACTGCATCAGTTTACATACTGCTCATGTTTATAATGGTTAGAAATTTGAGGCCTGATTCACCTCTTGTTTATGCTATTTTAAATCAGAAATAAGGCCATTGGTAGTCAGTGTCAGACTAGTGGGGGGGGGGAGAGCAAGACCCACATTTTTTGTAAATGAAAATTTACTTTCCACAGAAATTGATCAGAAAGCTTCACCATGAGCACATGGATTTTTAAGATCTGCTGCAAATCACTGCCAAGAAAAAAAAATTATACCTGGTAAGCGCTATCTTGCATTGAGGTGGTTTTCATAGCTTGACTTTTCATACACTCCACTCTACTAGCAAAACTCCATGCCCATAGGAAACGATGAAGAGCAATAGCCAGGAGAGCTGAAAACAAAGAACTGTGTGAGCTTCGATGTTGTTGGTAAACATATTTTACGATACTTCAGTGGGATTTTCAGTCACTTATGCACTTTTCAAATCCCACCAATAATTCTGATGCACAAGGAATTACATGCAATATCCCCATTAAAAATAACAGCAGTAGTATTCATGAGTAGGGCCCTACCAAATTCACAGTCCATTTTGGTCAATTTCACAGTTGTAGGATTTAAAAAATAAACTTCATGGTTTCAGCTATTTAAATCTAAAACTTCACAGTGCTGTAATTGTAGGGGTCCTGACCCAAAAAGGAGTTTTGGGGGGCTCACGGGGTGGGGGCTTGTGGTACTGCTACCCTTACTTCTGCGCTGTTGCTGGCAGCCACACGGCCTTTAGAGCTGGGCAGGTAGAGAGCAGCAGCTGCTGGCTGGGGTCCCATCTCTGAAGGCAGAGCCGCTGCCAGCAGCAGCGCAGAAGTAAGGATGGCATGGTATGGTATTGCCACCCTCGAGTCAGCAGGCGCCACTCTCCGGCCACTCAGCTCGATGGCAGCGGCGCAGAAGGAAGGGTGGCATGTCATGGTATGGTATTGTCACCCTTACTTCTGCACTGCTGCTGGCGGGACGCAGCCTTCAGAGCTGGGCACCCGGCCAACAACCACCATTCTCCGGCCGCCCAGCTCTGAAGGCAGCGCAGAAGTAAGGCCGGCAAGACCACAACCCCCTTAAAATAACCTTGCAACCGATCCGCAATTCCCTTTTGGATCAGGACCCCCAATTTGAGAAATGTCGACCTCCCCTGTGAAATCTGGATATTATAGGGTAAAAGCACACAGAAGACCAGATTTTATGGCGGGAGACCAGATTTCATGGTCATTGACGTGTTTTTCACAGCCTTGAATTTGGTATGGCCCCAGTCATGAGGTAAATGCTACCACGGGCACACAACTGACCCAAATCTGGAGCTGGAGTGCTTAAAATCACAGGTGCACTCAGTGGCTGGGGGGAAGGCTGTGTCACCTGTCACTTTGTAATAGCTCCTTTAGCTTAAGAAGGACAATGATGGGCTTTTCAGGGAGTCCTAAAGTTTGTACAATATAGGGTTTTTAGGGTGGATGTTGTCTCTTGCTTTTTGCACAACAAAAACCTGTAGAAACCACAGAGTCAGAGTTTAGAGCACTCTCCTGAGAAGTGGGAGACCCCTATTCAAATCCTTTGTCCCCCTCTGGCAGAGAGAGGGGAATTGGAGCTGGGTCTTCCACACCCCAGGCACGTGCTCTAGCCATCAGGTTAAAAGATACAAATGGACACCACCTCCTCCTCCAGCCATTTTGTGAAGAGTAAGGCAGGCACCAAGCTCATTCCCGCAAGAAGCAGCTTAGGCACCTAGGTCACCTGGCTCCAGTCGACTAGTTTCCATCTGTGGATTGGTAGCAGAGACAGGCACCTCCCTGCAGCCTGTACTTAGGTGCCTATCTCTGAGAGAGGAGAGGGATTTAGTGCACATCCCTGTCGTTGGCTCCCAACTTAGCATGCTAGCTTTTGTGGGTTGCATTCTTAGGCGCCTCTCTCAACACATGCATTGGCTAGGGAGCCTAGGCCAAACTCAGGCTTTGTGGATTGCAGCATTACTCTTGTGATTTTTCTAGGTGCCTCCAAGCACACCTACTATATTGGGCCATAAGGGTAAGAGAGGCGCAGGAGCATCCATCCTCCCCTGGTTCGTGGATTGCTTGAAGGCTTAGAAGAGAGATGAGCTTCCAGATGCTTGGAGTGAGGCAGCAACATGTGCACACCTGGAGAAACTTAGGTGGCTAGGAAATTTTTACGATGAGAATTTAGGCTCCAAGTGAATTTAGGTTCCTACAGGAATAGGTGGTGGCTGAGCAGAGGTTGTGTGAATCACAGTGGTGCCTAAAACTAGCACTTAAGCACCTATGTACATTTGTGTATCTGGGCCTAAGTAATTTTCTGAACATCACACAGCAACTCAACTGCAGATTAAGGCATAAGAATTCCCAAGTATCTGGTCTAATCACTAGATATTTTAGTTTGTTCATTCTTTGGGGTAGGAACTGTCATTTATTATGTGTATGTACTGTGCCTAGAAAAATGAAGCCCCAAGCCAGCAGAGGCCTCTAGGCACTACCATAATATAAGTTAAATAATAGACCCTGCTGCCTCTAGGAATGAAGTGAAAAGACTTGATATGCCTTTGGAAGCATCAGTATCTTTTCCACAGACTTTATTAAAAATGGATTATTAAAATGTTTTGTTTAAATGTTTGACCTTTCTGGCCTGTACAATATCACAAACTGAAACAGACAAGATTTCAATGCCAAAATGCATTGCCACTGCTGGGAGAATATATTAAAAAAAACAAAACAAAAAACCTACACACACTTACAGGACAATCTAAAATATCATTTTAAAATGCTACGAGGATAGATTGCTTCAACATCTAGCCCTGCTGAAAACAAACACAACAGACCATCTGCCAGAAAGAACATTGATCAAAAATGATGAGCCAAATTCACTGCTGGAGTAAGTGGGTGCAGTCTCATTTATTTCAATGAACTTAGCCAATGTTTCTGTATGTTATAAATTGTTGAGATGACACATGGTGCAGACTGTTGGGGGGTGAATGAGATCAAAAACACTGACATTATTAGAGTGCTCTCACTGAGAGTAATATATCAATTTCAGCACATATATATTTATAGACTCAAAACCCAAGAATGTGGCAGCTATTCACTTGGGTCAGTATAGTTTAAAGGAAAAGGTAGGATATTTTTACAATGATAAGAAAAATATATGGCCACTATTGCCAGTTTAAGGGACTCTGTTAGAACAATTTCTCTCTATCTAATTTGCCTTATAATTACACTAAATCCTACAATGATTGCTCTCATTTAAGTATTTACTGAATCTGCATTCCTTTGATGATTTTTTGTTTGGTTGTTTTTTTGTGTTTAGAAACCTCCTCTACACTGATTTCTAGATAACCCCCTACAGATTCTAGAAAGTGCGGGGCAGATTTCCATAACTGCGGGCAGATGCCTATTGCCCTCTGTAATAGGACTATCACGGTTCCCTCCCCACTCTGAACTCTAGGGTACAGATGTGGGGACCCACATGAAAGAACCCCAAAGCTTATTTCTACCAGTTTAGGTTAAAAAATTTTCCCAAGGCACAAATCCTTCCTTGTCCTTGTATGGGTACTGCTGTCACTACAAGTGAGTTAGACAAAGATTCAGGAAAGGGACTGCTTGGAGTTCCTGTTTCCCTAAAATAGCCCCCCAAGACAGTTCACCCCCTTTCCTGGGGAAGCTTGAGAAAAATCTACCAACCAAATAGGTAAACCAGATTCTTAAAAAACAGAACTTTATTATAAAGGGAAAAAAAGTAAAAGAAGCACCTCTGTAAAATCAGGATGGAAGGTAACTTTACAGGGTAATCAGATTCAAAACACAGAGGATTCCCCTCTAGGCAAAACTTTAAAGTTCAAAAAAAACAAGGACAAACCTCCCTCTTAGCACAGGGAAAATTCACAAGTTGAAAACAAGAAGTAATCTAACGCGCCCTGCCTTATTTACCTACTCTTTTTGCAATACTGAGACTCACTTTAGGATGGTTTATAAGAGAAGGAGTTTTCTGACCTGGTACTTCTCTGCTTTCCAAGAGAACACACAAACAAAGCCTTCCTTTCCCCCCCCCAGATTTGAAAGTATCTTCTTTCCCCATTGGTCAGGTGCCAACCAAGTTATTTGAGCTTCTTAACCCCTTACAGGTAAGGAGGAATTCTAGGCTTCCCTTAGCTGTATGGTTATGCCAAGGACCCATTTCACTTCTAAGTTACCATCCTATGTTACTAGGGCCCAGATCTGCAAAGGTACTTAGGTGCCTACATCTGGAGTTTAAGTTCCATTTTTAGGCACCACTGTGATCCATAAAAAAATATCTCTCACCCACCTCCTAATCCTGTAGGTGTCTGCACTGCAATTAAACACCTGCAGGTGGCCCAGGTCAGCTGACTTGGGCTCACAGGGCTCAGGCTGTAAAACTGTGGTATAGACATTAGGGCTCAGGCCAAAGCTCGGGTTTTGAGACCCTCCCACCTTGCGGGTCCCAGAGCTTAAGCGCCAGCCCAAGCCTGAATGTCTACACTGCAATTTTGCAGCCCTGTAGCCCGAGCCCACCAAGCCTGAGTCAGCTAACACAGGCCAGCCACAGGTGCTTAATTTCAGTGTAGACATACCTATATTTCTGCTGTAAAAGTTTCCCAGGCACCTATATTTCTTCCTCTGCTGCTTCACTTTAGACATCCAGACGCCTATCTCACACCTAAGCCCTACTACAATCCACAAACCAGGGGAAGATAGGTGTTCCTCCACGTATCTTTCCCAAGGGCCCCAGTCCAGTGTGCAGTCTCTGAGTACCTCCAACTTCACACAAAACAGACATGGAGGGAAGGGGCAAGGGCTCCCTCATAGCCCAGTGGCTAGGGTACCAGCCCCAAATGTGGGAGACCCCAGTTCTTTTACTACCTCTGGCAGGGGAGAAGGGAGTTCAGCTAGGGCTTTCTACTTCTCAAGTGAGTGCTCCAACTACTGAACAGCCTGAATTGGGGGTGGGGGGAGATGCTCTCAATCTCTTTTGTTGAAGCTTTTTCACTTTAACTGAATAATTAAATCTTAATTGGCCATAGACAGTATGAGAGTCACTCAACACTCCAGCGTAAAGCCCCTATTCAGGGCAGGCAGAGGGAGGAATTGAACTGGGGGACTGGCCTATTTTCTGGGTGACTGCCCTAACCATTGAGCTACAGGCTAATAGAGAGGACTCCTTCCCAGCTATTATGTGTGGAGTTAAGCAAGCACCTAACTCCATCTCCCAAGAAACAGCTTAGGCGTCTAAGCCACCTGACCCTAGGAGAGGGGTTCCAGCTGTGAATCGCAAACGGAGATAAGCACCTCCCTGTAGCCTGGACTTCAGCACCTAATTCCA